GAAAGGGAAGTCTTAACTACTTGATATTCCTTCCCACCACCATGTTTATCTGAAATATGCTTAAATTAGATGCCTTCCCCAAAAGAAATTTCTGTAACTCTGCTTCTTTCTCAAGTTCTCCCATCATCGCTACTTTATTTTTCTTCTAAACTTCTTTTTAAAAAAACATTCCTCCCTCTACTTCTCTTCCATTTCTATCTCCAGCCCTCACCATCCTCACCATCTGAGTCTCCATCAAACTTCTGTCCTTAAACCATGCCTCTCTGTCGCACTGAACATGCATGCACCCTATCTCCTCTCCTGACTCCCAGTTCACCTCCTTCCCCAACACACAATGCTTAATTTCTTCTTCTGGTTCCTCCCCTAGAGGGTTAGGTGGTTATTCCTCACCTCTGCTCAGCTTTCCCTGGTAACTGCATCTCTGCCCTGGTCTTTGAACTTCCAGATCTCCTCCATCTACTACTACCTAATCTGTATTTCTAGTGTCTTACTCTAGGCAGGGCCCCAAACCTTAGTTGCCACCTGCAGGGCAGTTCCATGGGGTGAGTTCAGAACCCAATTCCAGTTAGTCCTTCCAATAGTCCATTACCATTCTTGCTGTCTTTTCAGTTAAGTAATTTTCCTAGACCTAGCTGGCAGAGATTTATAATTCAGAACCTCCATCACTCACCACCACCCCCCAGAGCATTCAGCACTCACCATGTCCTGTAACTACTACCTACTAGGATCTCTATACTCTGTGTTCCATACCTAACTAGCACATCTCATTGAGGCTGAGACTGGCCACCCCTGGGGCTACGGGATGGACACTGACTTACCTTTCTCTTTTCTCCCCTGATTGCCAACGCTCCTTATACTTCTTCAGAGGAATCTTTCTGAAAGAAGTATCTGAACAGTGTCCTACATGAAAAGCCTTATTTACTTCTACCCTACAGGTAGGATAAAGCCCCAAATCCCCAGTTCTGGAGCTTCTAGGAAGAACCCCAGAACCCAGTATGAGCTGGCCTGCCCTGATCCTTTTCTGCTCTCACTCCCACTCTGTCTCAATTACTCTGGCCTCCCTGACATTTTATTTTTTTGTTTTCTTTACCTTAAACCCAAGAGGCTTGTGCTAGATCCTGGAATGGGCTGCTCTCATATCTTCACATGGCTGAGGACTCTTGCCATTCATGTGCTTAGGCACTCAGTAGCGTCCAACTCTTTGTGACCCCATGGACTGTAGTCTGCCAGGCTCCTCTGTCCATGGGGATCTCCAGGCAAGAATACTGGAGTGGGTTGCCTTGTCCTCCTCCAGGGGTCTTCCCAACCCAGGGATCGAACCCAGGTCTCCTGCATTGCAGGCAGATTCCTTACCGTCTGAGCCATCAGAGAAGCCCCTTGCCATTTATGTCTGGTCTCACATGTTAGCTCCTTGGCAAAGCATCTTAACCAAAGGATAGTAATTGCTGCCCTCCCTCCTCCTTCCTGAGACCACCTGGTCACTCTTTTTACATTTACTCTGTTGCATTTCTTCAAGGCACATCTCAGCATCTGGAAGTCTGTTTCTTTACACATTTACTTATTTAGTGACTCTTCCAACTCAAATGTAAGGCCCACGAGCACGAACTTTGTCTCACTTCACTTACTCCAGCTCCTGGAAGTCAGTTCCCTCCACTGGGGCACCCCTCTCCACATCCCTATCCCTGCTCCATTTATAGGGCTGCTCTAGCACTTCTCAGATTATATCTTTATTTGAAAACCTATTTCCAAAGGAACTAAATAGAGGGAAAGGAGGTCATATCAAAATGTGTGGGCCAAGGGGAAAGCAAGAGAGGAGTGTCTGGTTATAAGATGCTCAAAAGTGTAGATCTCAGTATAGAAGAGATGTATCTTTATTAAAATTATCCCTTTTATGTTCGTTTTAGTTATGCTGTATGTATTTCATTTTCCATGTGTTAGTTTCTAATATATATAAATGGGGGGTATAAATACATCCATTAATATATATAAGTGGATTTAAAAGGTATGTTTATACAGACCTTCTATCTTGTATTCGTCCTACTAAATGTACTTCTTAGTTCTAAGTAACTTTTAAAATTCCATAGATATTTCTACATACACAGTCATGTTATCGTCAAATAAAAAGTTAAATTCTAACATTCAAAAAATGTACATTTAATATCACTGTTATTTTTATGTACAAAATATAGAAAGTAGAGAATCAAAAAACCATAGCTGCTAGAGCTATGCAGGATATGGGGGACATGGATTGAAACAGTTAAAAAGCACTGTCAGCACAATTTGTTATGATCTGTCATCCTCACTATATTTTGAACTCCTGGTGAACAAAATCATGTCTTGTTTATTTGTCAATATCCCACCAAACCTAATAAAATACTTTGTCTAAAGTAGATACTCATAAATTTTTTTTTAAACAGAACTGAAATACTCCAGCACTGGACACATGGCACATGTTCAATAAATACTTGTTCATTGATTGCAAGAACCAATGAGCAAGTTCAAGTTTGTTGAATGATCAATGGAAGCTCAGCCCTGCTGAGAAACTGTAACAAGAGATGCGAGGAGGTAGAAGTTGTCATTACTATCCACATAGAAGAGCTTCATTTCTCAGGTAATGACAAACACAAATGCTTCAGGGAAAACATTTAAATGGTTACCTGTACATTTCTTTATATGACTGTTTCTTTTTCCATGTGATCCTAACTTGCATCCAAAATTCTCCTCCCAGAATTCTGCAAACCATACATTTCTTCGATTATTGGCAAGAGTTCGGCTTCTAAAGTATCGATCAAACCCTATTTTAAAGAAGAAAGGTATGAAAATATTTTTTTTCAAAATCAAAACCATGTACTACCAGAAATTTGAATAGATAGTATATTATGTTGTGATCATTGCATGGAAAAAAAAAAAAACATAACAAATGGGGGAGGAGCAATAACCCAGAAATAAGGCTATCCCTGTGGCAAGAATCAGTGGAGAACAAAGAACAATATCTCTACTCCCACCATTTACCATTCAGGCACCTGGCTTTTCAGGGATGTGCACAGAAGGTTGGGTGTCATCCACACCACTTCTTCCTCTCCTCTATGTCTCCCAGTGGCAGCAACTAGTGACTTCATGCTGAATATTTAGAAGCAACTCAGATTTTTTCTCCTCTCTTTCCCCTAGTAGGGGGTCTATGTTCTGAGTTTCTGTGCTTCTACACACCTGAAGATCTATCTGATCTGGATGTTCCATTTTCAGCTAACTCAATAAACCAATCACTACTAATGTAACCTTCTAGTTTTTTAGTTGCTAAGTCATGTCCAACTCTTTGAAACCACATGGACAATAGCCTGCCAGACTCCTCTGGCAGTGGGACTTCCCAGGCAAGAATACTTAAATGGGTTACCATTTCCTTCTCCAGGGGATCTTCCCAACCCAAGGATTTAACCCACATCTCCTGCTTGGCAGACAGATTCTTTACCAATGAGCCACTTGGGAAGAACCCGATCTTCTAGAGTCCTAGGTAATAAGCTAAAGTATCAGTCTGGTCAGGTAACTACCTCATTGAAGGAAGAATACTGGAATGGGTTGTCATCTCCTTCTTCAGGGGATCTTCCAGACCCAGGGATCAAACTTGCATCTCCTGCATTAGCAGGCAGATTTTTTACCCCCAAGCTACCAGAGAAGCCCTTACTTTGTCATTATTCCCACTTTAATACATATACTCTTACACCATTGATGAAATGATCTCTTGAACAGCATACATAAAAACCAAAACAAAACCTCCAATATACCAAACATTTGTCAACTGACTACTTCTCTGATTTTAATATTTCTTTCAATTTCCAACTGAGCTTTGATCGATAAACATGAGATTATTACTGGAAATAACGCCTTGTTCCAACAGATAATGGTAAAGGTAGGAATTTTTGTCACTGTCAAGATCACTGGAAAAGATATCTGGGAGACAGACTGCTTTTCAGGGGTTTGCCACATCTTCTGTTGCCATGCATTTATCCATAGAGTCAAACCAGCATCATGCCTTAATTTGCTATAAAGCAAACACTATCCTTCCAACCATGCTATAACTGTTCTGTATGTCCATGGATATATGCAAACTTAGAGGGCAACTGCTAATATCATGGAGATATCTAAGGCCAACAACAGTGCTCCTTAAAAAAATGTCTTGTGGATATCTTTTCTAATTAAAAAAATATATAATGTGCTAAGTTAAACAGTTACTGTCTTGGTAATTCTGCCATCAGTGCTACAAATTTTATCCAGAGTCATAAAATAATGGATGCATTTCATCATATGCTGATACTCTGATTTTGCTTTTGAGTTTAGATTCAGCTGGAATGAAACAAATTCTGTATGGTGCATCCTTACCATCAATTGATGCTCTTTTGGGTAAAATTGTCACAGCCCCTTCTGCAATCTCCTCCTGCTGATAAACGGGTGCTATTTTGGATCCCCAACTATCGGAGCCAATCCAGAGAAAATGCCCACTTTGGTTTAATTTTTTTGCTGCTTCCAATATCCTCCTATGAGAATAAGAACAAATAAAACACACCACATTTACCAAGAAACTCTATATATATGAATGTTACAGGACCTGCTATATCAAGTCATCAACACTCAGTAGGTCACTATTAAACAACAAGGCAATCATTCTAACTGCCTAATTTTTAACATCTCCGAAAAGAAATAAATTGGAGATTTTAAGTCCAGTGTCTGATAATTAGCCTTATTCCTAACCTCATTCACATTATTCTGTCTATCATTGTTGCTTGCCTCATTTCTTTTCAGTCCCCAGATTTTACTCGATAAACATTTCAGATAGAGAAACCAGAAGGTTGTTGTTTCTATGTAGCAGAAGGCAGTCTGTACTTGCATAAGAATGCTGCAATTCCTGTGAAATTTTATAAGATTCTACATTGAACATAAAACATATTAAAAAAGGGATGTGGGGTGCAAATATGATCCTAAACGAGGAAGAAAATCAATCAGTACCTGATGTCATCTTCATTAGCAAACATAATCACTGCCCGAGCATTAGGTGTTTCTAGCAGGCGCTTGATGATTTTTTCAAATTCTCCAGGTCTTGGTTCACGCGGAATTTTCTGTGATTGAGCAATGCAAACACCACCTATTTAAAAAGAGAGAGAGAGAGAGAGAGAGAAAGTGATTCAAAACAGACATTTACTTAACACACTTAATGAGGTTAGCTACTTTATAGAAACACATGACTCAGGAGTGGATATTGTTTCTCAAAATATCTGTCATTCTCACCTATTTAAAAGCAATCAGGATGTTTTGCATCCTAATGTATATATATATATATATATATATATACANTTAACACAGTTTTGGTTTGTAGTATTTCCCTTATTTGACAAACTTCATATAGTCAAAGCTATGGTTTTTCCAGTAGTCATGTACAGATGAGAATTGGATGATAAAGAAGGTTGTGTGTCAAAGAATTGACACTTTCAAATTGTGGCACTGGAGTAGACTCTTGAGAGTCCCTTGGACTCCAAGGAGATCACATCAGTCAATCCTAAAGGAAATCAGTTCTGAATATTCATTGGAAGGACTGATGCTGAAGCTGAAGCTCCAATACTTTGGCCACCTGATTGATATGAAGAATTAAACATTTGAAAAGACGCTGTTGCTGGGAAACATTGAACGCAGGAGGAGAAGGGGATGACAGAGGATGAGATGATTGGATGACATCACTGACTTCATGGACATAAGTCTGAGCAAGCTCCAGGAGTTGGTGAAGGACAGGGAAGCCTGGCATGCTACAGTCCATGGGGTCTCAAAGAGTTGGACACGACTGAGTAACTGAAGTGAACCATCCAACTCACACAACAAAAAAGGAAGAACACTTCCTTTGATTTCTCATCTTAAGGCAATGAGAGGCCAAAAAGAAAAATGTAGGAAATATCTCTGCCCTTTGCTGATGGGCTGGGATAGGAGGAAAAGATGGCGTTTTCTTCCAGTGTAGTGGTGTCAAGGTAACAATCTAATATAAAGAGAAAAAAAATGACATCAGCAAGATGTTTCAATTGCATTATGGTTTGAACATACTTTTTGAGTCACTGGAGAAGAAAATCACCATTTATTTACAGCATGGCTTCAACAAGCAAGGTATTTTTACTTCCACACAATTGACAATGCATTCAGTTACCCAAACATTACTGGGTGCCATTATATGCCATGCATCAGGCTGGACACTGGGAATGCCCAGTCTAACCCAGCAGTTGCCAGCTAGTCTGGGAAAGGGGCATTCCAATAAATTATCATGGAGCATGTAATGATTTTAGGATGAAGAGACTATACCACACTTTGGGAACACAGAGGCGGGAGTAACTCAAGTGCTTAAGAGAGCTAGATTTTAAATGGCAGATATACATAAGCACAGGTGCAAAACTGGGACATTTCTGGTAGAAGCCAAGGTATGAAAGAACCTTGCTGGATCATGACTGGCTGTGGTTGAGGTTGGAAAGAATGGACAGGTCCAGCTTGACAGTGACTTTGTTAAACAGCCCAAATAATTTGGGTTTTATATTGAAAAGGATAGGAACCCACAGAAAGTTCATAAGCAAGAGAATTACATGATGAGCTATGTGTTTTAGGAAGAAACTTCAGGTAGCCAAACAAAGAAAAACCATGTGGGAGCCACACAATGGGTGTCCAGTGTGTTGTGATCCAATTTAATATACGTGACAATGTTGTATGATTAACAGTGCCACAGTACTGAAGGCTATATTCTTCATCTAAGTTAGAACACTGCTAAATTATCCTCGCAACAGCAGCACCCTCACTAACCCTACACTGCCCTTCAGTGGTGAGAATTGCCTATAAGCCCCAGACTGAGCCTGTAAGTAGTTAGCCTACTGATATGCCCAAAATAGTTGTGATGATTGATTCATTCCTTCAGTAAATATTTATGGGGCTTCCCTGGTGGCTCAGATGGTAAAGAACCTGCCTGCAAGGCGGGAGACCTGGGTTCGATCCCTGGGTTGGGAAGATCGCGTGGAGAAGGGAATGGCCACCCACTTCAGTATTCTTGCCTGGAGGATTCCATGGATAGAGGAGCCTGATGGGCTATATAGTCCATGGGGTCACAAAGAGCTGGACATGACTGAGGGACTAACACTTTCACTATCTGCCAGACACCATGCAGGAGATATGGATTTATAATGGTGAATAAAATGGACATATTTTACTGGTGAATAAAACCATATTATAATGGTGAAGAAAACTCTTACCAGAGTTTAGAAATGTTATGGGTAAAATGGGCTTAATGCAAAACAAACCACCTAATAAAACAAACCACCTAATAAGTATATAAGTTATGGTATGCCCTACGAGGAAGAGCAAGGACATTTAATTTATATTGAGGAAAAGTGTCCCTAAAGTTGTTATCTCTCCATTAAGTTTAGAAAGAAGAGACAAGGGGAGAGAATCGAGTGGAAAAAGGCAGGAAAGAACCAGTGGAGTTAATGAATGAAGGGGAGAGAAGTATGAGACAAAGATGAGAGGTAGATGGGATCCAGGTCATGCATGTCATTCAAGACCTGTGCAAGATTATGAGTAATGAAGGTGCCTAATCTTCAGTAGCCCACAGGAGTATGTCTTTTCTATGACCATGGCATTTCATGGAAGAAAAATGAATGAGGACCACTAAGTGATATAAGAGGGCAACCTGGAATGGAAAGAACAGGAGGCCATGATCCCAGTTAGGAAGTTACTAGGACAGTCAACAGGGAATGCTGACTAGGGTGATACTATCAGTCCTGAGGAAGGGCAGGTGTATGAGTGCTCAGTGGTGTCCGACTTTGCAACCCCAAGGACTGTAGCTTGCCAAGCTCCTCCTTCCATGGAACTCTCCACGCAAGAATAATGGAGTGGGTTGCCATTACCTTCTCCAGAGGATCTTTCCAACCCAGGGATCAAACCTGGGTCTCCTGCATTGAAGGCAGACTCTTTACCATCTGAGTCACCAGAGGCAAGTGGATAGTGAAAATTGGAATTAGAATTAGTGGGGTTTTGTAATATTTTCCCCACCTTTACTGAAACAAGACTGGCAAATAAAAATTGTATATACTGGGTTGGCCAAAAAGTTCATTTGGGTTTCCCCATAACATCTTACAGAAAATCCCAAACTAATTTTTTTGGCCAACCGAATATTTGGGTTGTATTAATTTGATCGAGGTAACGCAATGGTAGGAAACCATTAAGCACGACTCTAACATTTTGGCCCTTGTGATCGGTTTCTCTGGGGCTTCCCTTGTGGCTCAGGCAGTAGAGCATCTGCTTGCAATGCGGGAGACCCAGGTTTGATCCCTGGGTCAGGAAGATCCCCTGAAGAAGGAAATGGTAACCCACTCCAGTACTCTTGCCTGGAAAATTCCATGGATGGAGGAGCCTGGTGGGCTACAGTCCATGGTGTTGCAGAGTCGGACACAACTGAGGACTTCACTTTCACTTTTTCACTTTTCTGTGATGACATCATTAAACAAGTAGGAAATACAAGAGGGGCAGACTTGATGAGTTTGATTCAGAACCAGTGGTTTTCAAAGTGCCCATGGAACAATGAGTCTGGAGCTAAGGAGAGAGAAGGGAGCTGTAACCACAATGTTGTTAGATGCAGGTACAGTGGTAATTGAAGTGTTGGGAATGAAGTGATCACTCAAAGAGAATATTTAAACCAATAACAGGAAAAGGTGAATGACAGAGTTCTGAAAACCCACCAGCAGGAAGGGAGCTAGTGAATGAGACTGGGAAGGAATGATTACATGTTTTGAGGAGAAAACTTTTGGGACAAAGTCTAGGGATTACTTGAAAACTGCATAATGTGTGTAAAAATCAAATAAAGAGCTGTGGTGAGTGGAAACATGAGGTAACCATAGAAATGTAAGATTCAAACTGTAACATTCTCCGGGGAACAATAGCTGTTTCAAAACATGACTGCACTTTTAAGAAAATTGTTCTAATTACTTAAGGATCCCATTAAAGACATGCCATATCCTAAGTATCATTCTGAGATTAACTCTGAGTCCATAACCAGAAGAAATGAAGGCCAGAAAATTTTTATTATGATTTTTTTCAGATGAGGCAAACAGGCATTCCAGACTTATGGTTTAGTCTGAATTCATTGATTTAGTCATTTACTACAGATCCATTGAACATTTCTGTTCACTCAAAATTAGTCAAGTTGGAATTTTACATTAGTCTATGTTTTTTTTTATTCCTTCACCTCACCTTTTATTTGTAAGCCTGGTCAATTTGTATCTTTCTTGAAAGAGGAACTGCACACGTAATTTATTTCAGTTGAGCAAATCCTTATGAAGAATGTGCACCCCAAAGGCATTATGCTGTTTGGTGCTTTATGGACATTTTATTGTGGAATGTATTACTCTCAAATAATTGGTGTTAGAAAATTAATATTCTTTTTCTTAGCCTTGAAACTCACTGACAACTTCTATCTTCACATCAGTCAAAAAGCTACACAGTCCATTCATAAGTACCCATGGTCTATTATGTTTCCAGAGATAAGGACTTTCTGTCTCCATTCTGCCTGCAACAATCTTATAACTGAATGACAAGATGTACACATCAGAAAAGCCAGATAAGAATGTAAAATGATCTACTGCCAAGAAAATATTGCATAAGGTCAAATCAACTGCAGTAACAAATGACAATAAATCACCATCCCAAATAATCATGACTATTTAAAACTACATAAGAAGAGGTCATTGTATACTATTGATGTTTGGTTAAAATACAGTAAAATTTAGTCAAACATTCAGGCTTTATCAGAGATGTGTTTTCCTATAATATTCATTATCAATTGTTTCAATTTTAAAAGAGATTCTCTGACTTGATCTAGATTCCTAAAGTGTGGAAGAGGAGCTCTCCTGCATCAAAGCATGTCTATTCCATCTATTTCTTCATACCCCACTCTGGAAGAGTGATTGTGTACAATTCCAGGGACACTAAATTCCCTGTTCTGCAGGTGTCCCCAGTTTAGCAAGAAATAATTTTTAAAGCTTAGCACTTAGGAAAAGACTGTCGTACGGAAGAATTTATAATTGGCTGCTTTCTAGAATTCCCTGTCTGATTTCCTCACCTGTGTAA